AAAATATTAAAGCATAATGCATAATAATAATAATAATATTACATAAATACCATTTTATATGTTGAGAACATCATGGGTATTCATATACAACGAGAGCCTGGTGATACCATTCACTATGACAAGAAACTCGGAAAAAGTCGAAACGATAAGAAAGCCAAATAATATTTGTACATTGCCGAAAAAGTGAAGGTAGTTTGGGTGCCGGGATTATTCTAATTGACGTTCCAACTAACGGATTTTTCGCAACGATAGTCTCATGGCATCTGAAGTGACTGGAAACGTAATATAAAGAGAATTGGAGATGTAAGCTACATAATAGTAAGTTATATTAGTTCCAAGTGAAACAATAAATTTCACTTACATGACCAAATCTTTCATTAAAAGGTTAATCCTTTGTATACATCTTTCTTATTACTATATATTCAACCCGAATAATGTAATTGTCGATGTCGATACCTTAATTTTCAACTGCACTACGTTGATTGGTATGAAGAGCAAATTGCTCACGCAGTAGGTTACTGACAAACTGATCAACATTCTACCATACAGCTAGAAGTTTGAAAAAATGAAATCGTATTTGCGGTATCAATGCTAGATACTTACATACAAAGTAATTTCACCTAGTAACGGTCTTAAGAATAAACCTTTGAGAGATTCTTGAATATCCAAAAACAAACAAGCTATTTATATTTTGACTTCACTTTATTATTTACATTTCAGTTAAATAGTTTCATGAAAAAATAAATAAAATGTTTGACGATTAGTCGCGGATAGTTCTTTAGAAACATCATCACGCGTGGATCCCAGACTGATAGTATATAGTAAACAGTATAAAAATATATTGTAGTCATCTGAGACTCGTATTCGCGCCATTTATCCAATTCGATGATGATATTTGTGAGAGCGTGGTCACTCCCCAGTCAAGCCCGACGCATTCGTGATATAGCCATAATCCATATAGTTTTAACATATAAAATTAATTGCGTTGATACATTCATGTGAACACCCGTCAGAATTTTGCTTCCGCTTTCGGAACGTGAGCGTGTGCAATGTTAACGTATTTTCAATATCACTTGAGTGAGTGTAGAGGAGATGTGAGGAATATCCACTAGCCCATATCATCCCGTGGGTGCCGTAAGAGCCGATATAGGATAAATCAGGAAATGGGAAGCAGCGTCTTCGTTATAACGACTGAAAATAAAAAAACAGTGCGATTGCCAAGCCGCTTATCTATAAGGCAATCTATGGGGGTGGGCCTAAGTTCAGTAGTGGACTTCAGTGAGCTGTAACAAAACGGTAACTTGAGTGAGCTCCACTCAAAACACTTTTTTGATGGTAAGTGATTACCGCCGCCCATGAACAAGTGGAACACCAGAGGAATTGCAGATACGTTGAAGACCTTCTTAAAAAAGAAGTTTCGTTTCTTCGTTTTAGTTTCTTGAAGGTCCCTAAGTCGTATCGTCCGGAAAAATCGCTAGTGGTAGTCAACTCCATAAGAAACTTGTGCGAGGCAGAAAACTTCTAGTAAACCGCATAGTGGTATAATCGGATGGTTATACCGCCATACCGCTTTAAACGGAAACGAAACGGCTACCATTTCCCATAAATTCCTCTTAAGACACCCTCAGTCCCGTGACATTGACCCATGGAATGTAGGCTATTGATTATTTTACGCCGCCAGTACAAGGCGATGTCATACATGTCGCAAGTCTTTAATAAAGCAGCATAGGTTACCGTTACAGCCTATTAAAGTCCACGTGGGGATATTTACCATAGTTGCCATACTGCAGGTTGGCAACCTCTGTTTTTTATTTTTATTTTTTTGGTCGTTCTGATTCGTTTCACTCTGTCGCCTCTTACGACACCCACGGGATGATATGGGGTAGTCTTAGGGGGTAGTTGATATTCTTATACACCGCCACTATACGGTAAGCATAGGTAATTTCGCTTAAAAATATTAATTTGTATTATGACATCGTGTTAAATAAATGAACCTTTATGATCTAGTTCTTAACTTTACGGTCAAAAACTTGTTAATTTAATTATTTCACATTCGAAACTAGTTCAACTTGACTCGTTAGCCTACACCCGTGTAGGATTGACAGCTCGGATTGATGAATATTTGCGAAAAATGGCAGTTGTTTGCTAGTTTTATCTTTAAACACATATATTATACCAGATAACAGACCTTTCGAACGCTTTAATATTTATAAGAATACCTAATGAATTATTGTTTTACATATTCGTAGACATCATATTAGAAATTGGACATCCCTACAGTGTTTTTAGTTTGGTTGGTTTTTTATTTAGTACATTAAATTTAAATAAAACTAGATTTTAAGCGATAAAATCATTCACTCGATTCCAGCAATTCACAATGTCGCATTTAAAACTTCTGTTTTAAAACTGGTTCAAACTTTAAATTTAGGATTTAATACAAACATGAATTAATTAACAATCACACTTGTGTGTAATTTATATTCACTTTGACCTCTGTAGTATACAAATTTATATCAATAGTTTTATAGCTTGTTTTATATGACTTTTATACATTTATAAGTTTTTATATTTTTATGACTCTGTATATACAAATTTATATCAATAGTTTTATAGCTAGTTTTATATGACCTCTATATATACAAATTTATATCAATAGTTTTATAGCTAGTTTTATATGACCTCTATATATACAAATTTATATCAATAGTTTTATAGCTAGTTTTATATTACCTCTATATATACAAATTTATATCAATAGTTTTTAGCTTTTATATATCTATTACAAATTTATATCAATAGTTTTATAGCTGTTTGACCTCTATATATACAAATTTATATCAATAGTTTTATAGCTAGTTTTATATGACCTCTATATATACAAATTTATATCAATAGTTTTATAGCTAGTTTTATATGACCTCTATATATACAAATTTATATCAATAGTTTTATAGCTAGTTTTATATGACCTCTATATATACAAATTTATATCAATAGTTTTATAGCTAGTTTTATATGACCTCTATAAATACAAATTTATATCAATAGTTCAATAGTTTTACATTGATATTTAGTCAGATTATAATAATTTTGATAGGTAACTTTTATCTTACGATTGAAAAATTAGCCCTTTTTTAGTAGAATAGTAGTGACAAATGAGCACTCAGCTCGCCTGATGGTGAGTGTAAGTGGATGCTGTGGCCCGTAGACATCCACATCTATCCTCGATTAACAATCAAAATGCAGATGCGTTGTCACCCCTGAGGTTTAAGATGGAATGATTTATTTCCAGTAAAAAAGGGTCTCTGGATCTCTAACTCACCATAGGAAATACAGCAGTATTAAGCTCCTATTTTACGCTGGTATTCTGTGAGAGCGTGGTCTTTCGCCTGTCGTGCCGATCTATTCGTGCTACAACCATAATATAGTTGCAGGGTGGCTCTTCCACGTATGCCCTTGGTTGTTAGTTAAATAAAACTTAAAATAAATCTTGTTATTATACATTTTATTTAATGGTATCTTCTACACTATATAAAAGTTATGGGTTAACATTCATGTAGGTATTCTGTTCTTAAAAAAATTATCTTTAAAAAAGTGCTATTTTTGAATAAGAGAAAATAAGTTTAAAATGTGGAATAATATTTTTAACGAAGGCACAAATTGAATGAAACCCCTATCCTTGTTCTTGGCACCAGCCGGTACCCCCCAAGAAAAATATAATAATGAAGCCAGGGTAAATAAATGTATTAGGGTATATCATGTTCTAATTTATCAACAAATAGGAAAGTTACACGCGATCTCGTGACGTCTTTCGTTTTTTTTTGAAATATAAATTAAGTAATGATCTTAAATACGAACATTGTAAGGATTAAGATGAGGTTGCCTCCTTTATTCGCCATAGTTACCGCACTTGGTAGCGTTGTCTAACGCATTTTTTTTAAATATTCTACTTGCTGTTATTAAGAAGACATTGCCCATCAAACCAGAAGGTTTGTTTCCATCTGTCGCCTCGTACCACACTCATGAGACGCTATAGGGGTACACGCCCACAATACGGCTGGTTGGTTCCTACACTACCGCAGTGAGGAGGCCTATGTTCAGCTGTGAACTTTAATAGAGTGTATGATGATAAAGATGATGATATTTTTCGTTATATTAGATACGTATACCTGTATTATTTAGAACATTTTTACATGTTGATTGTAAATATCTGGTTTAACTGCACGAGTTAATTCATCGAAATGTATTTGATGTTTATTTTTGGATTAATTGATGGTATTTCTAGAATTCGGCAATATCGTTAATAAATCAGTTTCAATTAGTAGTTGAGAGTTAGCAGAAGACTTGCTGCCTCTATACGTTACATAATTCGTTAAGATATGAGGCAGATGTCTTTTCACGATTGGCTTATATGTTTGGCATTTTCTCACAGTTTCACGTAACTTTGTATATTCAATTGAAAAGTCTGCTTTCATATAATATTTCCTATGCACAATATGCGTGGATAAGCACTTCCTTTCTCTAACCTAAATATTTTCGTAACATAATCATATTATCAAAATGAAAATTATTAATTACACATACACTAAATTCACTCTTTGGTTCTTTTTTGTGAGTAATTTTTGTCTTTGGTTTAGTTACTAACTTCATTATGTGAGTACGATTTTAATTGTTTTTATTTTCGCTATTTTTATTAATTTATTTGAAGAATATAAGCATGTTTCATTTTTAATAATAACACATTATAAAAGAATTAGAAAGCAAAGATGTGTTGAATATTGCGTTAGAGTTATTTAATATTTACTGAAAAACTTAAGTTATTCTCGTAAATCCAGGTAGATATTCTGCTTTGAACTTTTGAACGTCTATTTAACTAATTTCTAAAAGCCAGGTGTTTCTATACTAACTTACAGTCAATTAGATACGATTTAAATAAGCACATCTTTGCGTTCACTGGATATCCATAGAATCGTTATTTGACCTACACTATTTATTTGCAGTGACTTACCCGACGAAGAAGACAAGAAGACACCTGTCCTCCTCTTAGGAGTAAACAAGATTTCTGATTCTCCATCATTTGTAAGAAGAAGATCAACAGAACCACACACATCTGGTTCAATAAGATTTTTTCGTCCGCCAAAATCTAAATATACGAGAGGGCTTCATGGAGATGAAAGATTGGAGAAAATTAGGCAAGATCTTCTACTCCACAAACATAAGCCGGATAGGTACATTCCAAACACAAATCAAGATATTTCGTTAGAGCCTGTAACAAAAAGACCATGTCTGAAATTGAGCTGCGTGAGAAATTGTAATTGCGACAGGAGTAAATCTTCCAATAGAGGGTCGTTTTCCTTTCATAGACCTGACAACCGCCAGTCTTCGCTATGCCCGTCTGAACCTTACGGAAAGCCTGAAGAAAGGAAAGATTTTTCCGAAAACGATATTGAATATAAATATACAGAATACATTCCAGATCCCGAACCTTCTAGCAGTAAGCAAACCTCATACAATGTTACTCCCAAATCGACGGAACGTAGACATTTTTTGCTTTCAAACTTAAATGAAAGATTTCGCAAAACGCTTAGCTTAGATTCACGTAAAATTGAAACCAATCGTATACCACTGAGCTTGCCTCAAGAGCAACGACCCAAATCTCTCGTAAATACGAGCAATATTTGTGTGCAACAATTCAAATCAGGTGATCCTTTCATATTACCAAATTTCGATAAGACTAGCCAGCCAAAGAAAAAACGAAAATCGTTCTTCTCACTTGACACGTTCTTTGATTCAAAAAAGTCCGACACATCTTCTGTAGATGATTACTGTTCGTCAAAATATAAACGATTTGAGTTAGAAAGCGATGAATCGCCACTTTTCAGACGTGAAATTTCTCATCAGCAGCACGGAGAGAAAACTCCGGACTTATTAAATTTACCAGTCATAATAGATTCTGTTCGAAAGAAACAATCGGAAACGAAACGACAGTTGGACAAGTTAGAAAGTCATTTCTATAAAAGCTTAAGTAAAACACAGACTGTTATAGACGCGGTACCGAAAGACGCTACCGACGTACAAGGTCCAAGCGGACATTCCAACCATATGTTCGTATACGATGACGACGTGGAGTACATTGAACCTATAAGGAGTAATTTTACTAGTCAAAGCACTTTAATTCTAGATAAGAACACTCTGAAACCTGATTCAATATTAACGATTAACACAGAAGAGACTGACATTAAACTTCCAAGCTCCACTGTTTCACCGAAATCTAATGAAGTTAGAAATCTTGATAATGATTTAGATAGTATCGGTGCTTATGAAATAGAAGTAAAGGAAGCCGATTTGATAAAAGATAAAGCAAAGAACTTGACAGTGAAAGTGATGGACAAATCGGTAGATTCTATTGGTAGCTGTTCGCTCGATGTAGACGCAAGTACAGACTTTTCAGGTAAATTAAGATATAGCATTTCTGAGTCCCCTGTGTTTGTATGAATGTGTAGCATGTGTATATGTGATTTTCTGGAATGCTTTTTGTTTTCATTTCATTGGTTCAACAAACTTATTTGCTTTTTTTACAACAATCAAAATAAGATCTTTTAAGTTAATACTTACATTTATTTATAGCCGTATACAATATAATATGAAATATATTTTTTTTATTTTCTGTAAACTTGTGTTTTCTTTATTTCCTTCCTGCTTGCCATAATACAGTTGCATTTGAAACATAATGCTATATTTTTTTGCTTTTATCCATATTTAGATACTTTGATAATATTATATTATTTTTTTAATGATATAAATTATATTCGGTTCTGTAGACCGTATATTTTCAAGTGCGCTTCTGACAAATAATCTAATGATTTTATCTAATTTTTATTTCAATCAAAGCTAAAATTAACAAAAAATTATTTGTGCCTACCTACCACAGCATTTGTGTGATCCCATAATAAACTAGTAAATTAGTATTTAAGGTGTATGCTTCTTTAGTAGCCTTAATTAATTTACTGTTTAATAAAGATAAAGGCCCTTGCAAAAATACAACTGTGGCCATACATCATTAGAAAGATTTGTCCATACTCATTGTGCTAGTAATGCTGCTCACCATTCCCAGTGTGTGCAATTTGGTTTGAGTGTTTTTCGTTATTTCTTAAGCAGAGTATCGTTCTTTCATTAACAGAGTGCAAAACATCTAGATAAAGTTGGTGTTTGGTTTTACATTCCCTATGACACATGTAGGTTGCCATAAGCTAGGGTTTTTAGGACTTGATGCGTCGTGACGTTATGCATAGCTTTGTGTGACGATGATTCAAAAAGCGGGTTAGGAATTCCATACAAAGTTATAAGTAAAAAGCTTTAGTAATCTAGCACTACATGGCCGAAAGTGACAAGTTATTGTCTTTTACTTTGAAGTCATATCAAAGGAAGGTATTTTACTCTACAGAATGACAAAAACTTTTTTTTATTTAAACTGTCTCTTATATAAATAAGAATGAAAGAAATTTTTGTCCAAGGATACAATACGATACAGGAGTCTTATGAAAAGAGGTAGATATTTAATAATGATTACATGGTATTCGTAATTCTTATAATGATTAAATTGCATTGAATCCAGTTAATAATTTTTTATGTGTCGTTTTTATAATATTTTTGCTTTATACATAAAGTTTTTATAAACACCAACTTTAATTATTTTTGATTTTTAAACAGTAGTTAATTATTAATAGCTTTTCAAACTTTTACACAATGTTGAATGATAAGTTATACCAAGGTTATACCTGTGTTCAGATTATATTTTTGCAGCATAATGTACTTGAATGTTCAATAAGCCCTCCCTATAAATTTCCTAGTTATGAAAATTATGAATCGCTTTTCTTTTTAAAATGAAGAATACATTAGCTTGACTATATAAAATATTTTAAGTGTAATTCATTGTTCATTTTAAAAAGGCAATGCAGGTGACTAATGACTGTGCTTTGTGGCATTACTTATTAGTTAAAAGAGGCGTTTAGCAGTGGATTTTTAAAGGACTATAATAATGATGATGATGATAAAATTTATAAATAGATCTTGAAATAAATAAATACATTTTTACATTAATTATTAAACTTTAATATGTTGAAGAACTTAAGTCATAAAATTGTTTTAAATAAACGATTCCGGAAAATGACTTCTTTTAAAAGGTTCAGAAACGATATCTGAATCATAAAACTATAATATAAATTAGTTATGTAGGTCGATTGCAGATATCGCATGCTATGCAAATTGCAAGTCATAAACAAAAGAAATATTCACGCATATGGACAAATCGATGAATCGACCTCGACTAAGCCTACGCAATACACGCTTCTATCGAGCTAAGGCTCTTTCATTGTCATCCAGTTATCGCCCGTGCACTAGAACTTCTTAAATATAAATAAATATGTGTTTTTATCTTAACTTGATTGAAAATATAGTAAACTATTAGATGTATCAAATCTATTAAAAATTAATAATGAATATATTATGCTAGTCGTGAAACGAAACGTAAGAAAAAGACCGGCTGTCGAGGGGCGCTGTAGTGACGTCTCGAACTCAAAAAAGCAATGTTTGACATTTGACTTTGTGATTCATTTCATAAATTCCGTGTAAAAACATTTGAAGTGAAGAAAGTAAATATTATAAACAATTCATGATTGTTTCAGTGTTCAGTTGTATTGATTTTATACCTTTAATGGTAAGTGTAATGTATAAAGTATAAAACAAATGTTAAATCTCTCTATACACTTCCTATAATTTAGTCTATTTTTTATGAAATAAATATCTAATAGAAATATCTAAGCAAAGAAAATTACCTAACTAATTAAAAACAACTTTGAGGCTTGTGCTGTTTGGAGCTAATATAGATAAGTTAGTAACTAGGTACAGGAAATAATTTCTACAATATTTATTCTGTCCCTGGCCTGATATATTGTGACCGTGAAAATGTTCATTTTAATTCTAAACCGGTGCAAGTGTATATTTGTGATTTTATAAATTTTATATACTAGATTAAGCACAAGTTTAAAGCTTTACCTTTCATAATATTTACGAAATATAATATGCAATATTAAGCTATTTATGCCAAAAATGTATTAAACTTTGTAAGGAACCCTACAAAGTTTAAATGTAAAAATACCTGTCACCTTTTTATAAATAAATACATAAGTCATCTTTGAGCTCTATCAAAAATCAAAACACATTTAGTTTTAAGACTAGCTTTGGTGTTTTTTCCTGAGGAATTATTTATTTGTTTAATAGGTTATAAACATTGATGCTGTGACTATTGATGAAAGTAGACTAGAAAGCACATTGAAGGTTTGGAATTTAAAAATAAACTCAAATTAAACAAAAATCATATAGATATTATACATATTTCAATGATATCTAAAATGTTAACTTGTGTGATATTAGAATGGCTCTTCAGCTACTTAAGAATAGCAAAATGTAGTGTGATTATGGAATTACAGCAGAGCATGTTAAGTTTGGGTGGTAAACTGATCTGCCCTTCTTATGAAGAGTGCAATAACTTGGTATTAGCTACTTTCGAGATAATCACAATTAAAGATTTAATTCTTGTTTTGTGTGTATCTTCGTAACTATGATAGCTATTTACTTGAAAATTTTACTATACAACAGATAAAATGATGAAAAATTCTTTGTAGTATATTATATTTGTACATACATTTATTTAGACATTAAAAACAGAATAATGTATTTATCTTTAAGACTGTTAACTGATTTGATAGAGCATCACTAATCATGATTGCAATAAGTAAACAAATTGCTCTTTTGACTAGCATACACTGTATGTCCTGTAGTTTCTTTCCAACCATAAGTGCAATAATTGTCTTAGTTACTGCGGTTTTAATAAGTAAAATATTTTAATCAGACACATTGCAGCGGTGGTTGATTGCAAGAATATTATAGTTTTTATGAAAAATAATTGAAACAAAATTACTATGTCTGAAAATATTTATGTATTAAATAAATTGATGTGAAAAATGTTACAAAAATATCACTCTACCCCCGAAAAATAAAAATTAACCCCTTTAGACCACTTTAACTATTTCTTTCACAAAAATTATGTATTCATAACTTAAGGAACTTTGCAATTGCATATATTAATAACAAGATAATTTAACAAAAATCACAAAATCTTTTAGAAAATTCTTAGCTTTTTCCCAGGATACAAAAAAAATTTTATTTAATCTACTAAAGCAGATTATGAGATTAATCTTTGAATCAATCTTAATATTAAGTAAAAAGTCAATCTTAAGTTACTTATATCTCAACATAAAAAAAATTGGAATCTGAGTTTAATATATATTTGACATGTCCTGAGCTTAATGTATCATCGTAATATCTAAGTCACTGGGTAAATAAAACTTATTGAGTTCATTTTTGCGGCGATAATGTAATATTGTTTGATTGAAACTTTGAATATTTTCATTAGTTATGTTTAAGTCTAATGAATTAATAATTCATAGCTTCCTCGTTTGTTTCTTTGATCATTAACTTCCTTACTGTGTGCCAGATGAATGTGTATTATTTATTAGGATATAGATAGATAACCTCACAAACTTCACATTTTCATAAGAAACATTTCTTTCTTTGGCGGTTATACTGTCCGTATTTGTTCGGGTGTTCAAACCTCTTGAATTCCAACTTAAATTTACCTACCGATCGTGGATATATTTTCGATTTTTTTCCATTAATTAGTACTTTAGTTCAAACTTTGTCATACACTTTTTTATATTTCACATGGTAGTAATAATGCTAACTGTATCAGCGTTTTCTTTCCTCTGTTAGGTGTGTTGTCTCATTGGAATATTAAAAGCACGACTTTTCCTTGGTAGGCCTGATTTTGTAAATCCTTTTTGATTTGCAGGTAATGTTGATGGTGTCTTTACTTGAGATGCGTAAACCGTACAGAAAGTAAGGTCTTTCTGTTCAGTTTACGCATCTTCAATTTCATTTTGTAGCCCATCATTGACACATTCCCCTCCTTTTCTTTTTTTGTTTTATTTACTTGCTGGTGTAGCAAATAATCATCTTTGAGGTCACCTGTGCTAGTGTCAGGCACTATATATTCAGTGATAACATCAAGCTTTTGGTCCTTAATTGTATTTTCTAAAAATCAGATAAAGCATCTGATCCATTGTTTCGGTCTCCGTGATTGTCCTTAGATATATCCTCCTAGTCCTATAGATAGTTGTTATATGATTAATTCTGAATTTCTGCTTTAAGTGTACACATTTGTTGTACTAGTTTCATTGCGGGTGTAAAAATCATAGTCGGAATTCATGGAACAATCATGTTAGTTATCTTTGTTTACGTTATACTAATCTCAAAAAAATTTTAACTTTACTATTGTCATGATCATCTTTGTCAAGCAATGAAAAGAGTTCATGACATTTTATAGAATTACCT